CCCCCCCCCCCCCCCCCCCCCCCATCACCAAACTGTTATATTATTGTACATTTAATACAAATTGTACATCGAGTCCGTGTTAGAAAAAAGTACTCAGATATTTTACTTGAGAAAAAGCAGCAATTCCACAGTTGAAAAAATATTGTGTTGGAAGTAAAAGTCCTGCATTCAAAATTACTAAAGTATTATCATCATAATATACTTGCAGTACCGAACATTGCAGTACTCATCATGTAGTATGACTTACTTAAGAATAATATGTAACCGGATTATGATTATTGATGCATTAATGTGTAAACATCACCGATGTTGCAGCCGGTACATGTGGAGATAATTTCAACTACTTTATATACTTCTGGGTAGTTTAACCTTTAATAATGCATCATAATACATTGGTTGGTTCATATTCTATATTTATAACCGGAATCTGCAAAGGAACTAATGTAAACAAATAAATGTAGTGCAGTAAAAAGTATGTTATTGGCTTCCAAATTGTAGTGGAGTATAAACAGGTTAGTTGGGCCTAGTGTGAGATGGAAATACTCAAATAAGGTAAAAGTACCTCAAAACTGTACTTAAGTACAGGATTGAGTAAACGTACTTCCATCACTTCCTCAGATTCTTTCTTTATGGGTTGCAGTTTATTACACAAAAAAAATCCATTAATTACAACTCAGTGTGGATCAGGTGTTATTATATCTTCACAGTTTATTCAGTCGTGTGGGTGCATTACAATGTTCATGACACACACACACACACACACACACACACGAGTATGACACTTTCAGGGGGTTGGAATTGTTTTTAGAATTCATAGAAATGTTTTCAATAAAGGAAGCAGCCCCCCCTCCCCCCCCTCCCTCCTCCCTCCTCTCAAGATCCATTACAGTATTCAGCTTTAAAGCATCTAACAGCCATGGAGACACAGTCTGCAACATGTCACATCAGACCTTTGATGTTATGTTAATGTTACTCTATATATTTTTTTTTTAAATTCTGCCATAGGAGATTCGCCAGCAGTCATGTGAACTCCCGTGCAAAGTTGCTAAATTGCCTGAAAACAAGAACCGGAACCGCTACAGAGACGTTAGCCCGTGTAAGTAGCTCTTCTGTCTGATCGCACTGAACGGAGCAGATTCCGATGTTTAAAACATTCCTTTAAATGGATGACCGCCCTGTAATCTGCTAGTTCATGTTGAAACATCAGCCAGTGGTGAGTTATTGTTTGAAGTTACAGCAGCAGCATCAACAGAGTCTTCCTCAGTGGAGTGTTATACAAATGGCTTACTGCTGTTTGACCTCAGTCATTTAAAATAACACAATGTCAGTATTACACAATAGGCAGAGGGTTGCATCACTGGGGATCGACGTCATAAAGACGTGACTTCCAGTTCATAACTTTTGGCCTCTTTACTGTGAATTTATTACGGTTGTTAATTGTACATGTTGGTACGGCAACATGATAATCATCTTTAATTAAAACCAACTTGTTCAGGCTGGCTTTTATGTGATCGTCAATGACATTTAACAACATCAGAGTGAATGTACCGGGTCAGCACAACAGAACATTTGCTCCCATATTCCCGACTAGACAAATAATTAAACACATGAGTACCTAGACAAAAGAAACGGGACGAAATTAACTACACCAATTTGTTCCAATAATCTTAAACCAACAATACAGTCGGACAAGTTTAAAACACTTTTCATCAAGTTAGAGTTGATCACCCGTCGGTACATATCTCAGTAGATTTTATTCCTTCAAGCACTTTGTAAACATAAGAAACATTTAAATACATTTAATTGTTGTTATATATATTTAATGCTCAGCTAGCCCCACAGACCCACTTCTTTGAACTACAGGTATGTCTTTTCATGTGAGAATAACTATTCAGTGTTTCAAATGAATCATTATTCACCAGAATGTTTTTTTTTGCAACGTCACAACAGCTGAATGTTGTTTCCTCTTTTTCACACTGAATCATTTATGCAAATACTTACTGTGTGTGTGCCATCAAGTGTGTAAACGTTTGAAAATCTGTATCCTGAAACTTGTTCATGCTGTTTAACTGAAATGCTCTTTCAGTGGATGTATCAACAACAGTTTGACATCAAAGACAGACTCGTCACGTGTTCCCAGCAGCTGTGTCGGGCTGATCTGTCGTCCCCTGAGGGGTGGTGACATGTTGGAAACATACAAGCTTATTTTCATGTTTCTTCTTTTCATCCTCTCCTAAGTTGACCACAGCAGAATATGTCTGCAGCTGGGAACGAATGACTACATTAATGCCAGCCTAATAACGGTAGAAGAGGCACAGAGGAAGTATATCCTCACTCAGGTAAGCAAGACTCAGCACACTCCTCTGTACAGCAATGATCCACCCGTATTCAGAAAACATACCACTTATTATTATTATATGAGATTAGACGATATCTATTTATACTTTTGAACAACCATGATGCAAGTATGCGTAAGGAAATGGGCGGTAGTGCTGCCTGTGCTTTGAAGCATGCAAGGGAGGACTTCATTATGAAGTCAGAGAGATTTAGCCTGCCTTCATTGATGCATATGGGGTGGACAAATTAATAGAAACACCTGTCGGTACAACACGCTACAAACTACATCCTCCAAAATGTTCATAAAGTCGACATCTCTAGAACAGTTTGAATAAAAACAGATGATAACCTTCATGAAGTTTAGATTTGTTGCCGCTGTACTTAATAAACTGAGTGTGAAAACATTTAACTAATGGTTTATAGGCTGATTATTAATGCATGTGTCAATGACCAAATCCTCCTGTGGGAATGCACAAGTGGAGGCTGGTGTATAGAAAGATAATAAAAGGCAGTATAATAAAGCCATATTTTAAAATAATCTTCACAGGAGGAATTGGTATGCTCGTATGCTCAGCGATAACAAATGCTTTGCTGAGATATTTGAATAGATGCACTGTTTTTATTTACTTATACTGAGAATAAAATCCTCTTTTTCAGGGACCCCTTCCAAATACATGTGGCAACTTCTGGGAGATGGTGTGGGAGCAGAGGACCCGCGGTGTCGTGATGCTGAACAGAGTCATAGAGAAAGGATCTGTGAGCGGTGGCTTCTTTCCTCACTCGATTGTTTGCCCCCATGACATCATTGCTTTTGTCTTTGGGTTATGTGTAATGTGCCCCCCCCTTTGTTTTGGTTTTAGGTCAAATGTGCCCAATATTGGCCACACAGAGAGGAGAGAGATGCTGTCTTTGAAGATGCCAATTTCAAGCTCAGCCTCATGTCAGAAGAGATCAAGTCGTACTACACAGTCCGTGAGCTGGAGCTGGAAAATCTGTCGGTAAGTTTAAAGTAGACATGCTTTCAGCCTTTTAATACTCCGTGCCTCCGTCCTGGTCTCTTCTATAATCTTTTAATTTTTCCTTCCACGTCTTATCTTCCTTTCCAGACTAATGAGACTCGTGAGGTTTTACATTTTCACTACACCACCTGGCCTGACTTTGGGGTACCAGAGTCTCCGGCCTCCTTCCTTAACTTCCTGTTCAAGGTGCAGAAGTCTGGTTGCCTGAATTCCGACCAGGGACCAGTGGTGGTGCACTGCAGCGCCGGCATCGGACGCTCTGGGACCTTTTGTCTCGTGGACACGTGCCTGTTATTGGTCTGTACGGAGCTCTGCTATTATGACATCATGATGTCATACCTATCATGTCTGCAGAAATAGAATAAGACTAAATTCCTTGATCATTGTTACGAGCAACCAGTCATGAAGACTGTAAACGGTCTGACTCAAGTAGCTGTAGAACTCCACAATTATAGTTATGACTCGAGACTGTTGTGTACTGAATGTTTTTGCTGTATTTTGTGCACGAAATGTTTTTGCTGTGTTGCGTAGATGTCCAGCCGTAAGGACCCGTCTTCAGTGTGTATTCGTGACGTGCTGCTGGAGATGCGACGCTATCGCATGGGCTTGATTCAGACAGCAGATCAACTTCGATTCTCCTACCTAGCCGTCATTGAAGGTGCCAAGTATATCAAGGGAGACACATCTCTGCAGGCGAGTCCTCCCTCCTTCAGTTCATCTTATTTTCAATTTAAGGAATTCATCAATTGGGTATTATGTTAAGTACAAATTGTTTTTATGAAAGTATTTTTGCAAATAAAAGTATTTTGTTTTTTCCTCAAGGAGTCCTTGAAAGAGCGCTCAAACGAGGAAGAGGATCCTCCAGAGTTCACCCCCCCGCCTCCTCTTCCTCCTCCTAGAGACCCTCAAAACGGCAAAGTTGAGCCGTCCTTCTTTCCCGAAAATGATGAGATTATCAAACAGACGGAGATCCGCAGTCTCGGGTAATCATCCAAATAATGTTATTTGGTCGGGTTTTGGAGAGCACTCAACTACTAGTTTACTTTCAAACTTAAAAACCAAGTTGCTTGGGAACGTTAAAGCTTTACTCTGCTCTCCTCTACTCAGGTCCTCACAAGAGCCGGAGCTGCGAAAGAGGAACATTGCTGCACCCGAGCCTCCTCCTGACGGTGCTGATCAGCTCCATGGCCACATCGGAATGGAAGATCACGACTCCAAAGCTCCAATGAAATCCCAGCAGCAGGAGACGGAGGAGCAGGAGTTGGCAGTGGAGCCGCCAAAGGAACGCTCTCCGGTGCCGGAGACGTGGTCCCCTCTACTAACCAACGTGTGCCTGTGCACAGCCCTGGCTCTCGGTGCTTACGTCTGTTATCGAGCCTGTTTCCACTGATGTCTGTCCCTCCTCCTCCTCCTCTCCGTTGCTCTCTGTCTCTCCACTGATGTCGCAAAGTGGACTAGGCTGCCCAATCGGCCTGCTTTGACTTTGGCTTTACTCTACGAGTGAGTGGATTATTTGGACTTCAGCAGATTCAGGTTCACTCGTTTATTTGACAGAAGCAGTGTGAAGGGGGGTTGCCTTGTTGGGAATAACCCCACCCAAACGTTCTTTCAATACGTCATCATGAATGCTCAGGGCCTTAGTTTTTCAGGGGTCACATCCCAAATACGTGTGCCGACTTAAACACAGACGATACGTGTATGTTGAGGAAAAAGGGTTTGTTTTCACTGAACCAGGATGAATGGCCTGTGAGCACCATTTTTACTCGTGTCTCCTCTCTTATTTACCAAATGACACTTGTATGTGTTCTTCCATTTTAACCCTTACTATGGTGTCCGTTAGGATTTCAAATTAATTTTTTTTCTCCACCGTTTCTTTGTTTTGCGTACCCACATGATCAGAAATCATAGAGCCAGATTTTTGAGCAGAAACCTTTTTGTTGTGGTTCAATATTGAACCCGACAGTAAGAGGGAAGATAAGAGATGCATGCCGGGGTGGGCATTGAATTATCTGTCCTCACTGGTGGCCTGTGTAGGTTTTTCAGGAGGCCCGCTGATTGAGTACATAAGAGTATGTGTGTATGGACATTTGCACGAGTGGTAGTTAGTGGCGCTTTCTACTGATGCTTTTTTTCTCCAACATTTTTCAGTATGTCAAATGTGAGATGGAGACTGAGTTGCCTCCTGGTAATTGATTCCCTCTGCGTTTTCGCTCCCTGGTGGCTCAACAGTGACACAGAAAAGTCTTTTTCAAAAGAAAATGGTGCAGGCACAGGGTGGTTTGTCTCTTTCTCCATCTGCTTGGCATTCACAAATTGACAGTGGGGAAAAATCTTGCCAGTAGAATGTGTAACATAACTTGAATGACACTGTTTTTTCGACACCTTTTTACGTGTGTTAAGTTACACACAAGAATGCCAGCTTATTGAGACACAAAGTAGCTAACACCCAACTCCTTTCGCCAGCAATAACAAATACCTAATGATGTGTCACCCTTTACTTTGTCAAACTCTTGAGTTTGAATGGGGAACCAGGATCTTTTGAACAAACCAAAAATCAAACACCAGCACAGGGATGAAAACAATACACTGTAGCAATGAACCGTTGTATCATGGCGTGGCCCTGAGCTGGCAATATTGTTTTGTAGGATTACATTTTATTTTTATTTTTTTTAGCATGCCGCATTTGTGAATCAACAGGTTTGTCCTAAAAAGAGATTAGCTAAGCTGCTAGCATTCAGTTTACCTTTGTGACTCGACAAAGTTCAGTACACGAGCCCGACCGCTGTACTTTTCTTTAGAATGTATAAACGTCCTCAACAAGGACACACCCTTATTAGATATATATATTTTTTTTCAAATCAGGTTTCAATGTTCTGAGTTATATTTTGTTCTGCTTAAGCAAGGGTTTAACTCTCAGCACCCGTGCAGCCATCGCACCAGGTTTTCCTGTTTTTCTACTTATGCTGAGCTCAAAAACATGTATTTTTTTATTTACATTTGTTGTTTTACTTTTTAAATAAAACAAACTAAGTCTACTGTTGAGTTGTGCCAGTTTTTCCAACATATTTACATCTATCTAATTCTCACTTCTAGACTATGGTAATGACTATGCTAATACAATGTCATACATGACTGTGTGTGATGGTTTATAACTGATATATAAAACATTAGTAAATTATTTATTAATAATAATAAAGCCAACATTAGTTACAAATTATAAATCCTTTATAAATCCTTTTAATCCAAAATATCTCTATAAAAGGATGTGTTAATGTTTTGTACTCTTATCGTGCACTTTACATTTACCTTTATTATATTTAACAATATGAGTGCAGTGATGGAAAGTAAGTACATTTACTAAAGTACTGTACATAGATGCATTGTTGAGGTACTTGTACTCCTATATTTGTTTCACACATGTAGTTACTAGTTACTGAGCAGATTTATTACAAAACTAATCAATCAACTAATAAATTATAATGTATTGTTATATATTATCAATATATTAAGTATCTGAAATCTGCTCGACCTTAACCAGCTACAACATTTAAGTACACATTAATGGATCACTGACTAAATCCAATGATTATATTATATATATATATCAATAGATCAATCCTGCATAATGAGTACTTTCACTTTTGGTACTTATAACTTGACGTTAATACTTAATAAGGTTTTGAATGCAGGACATTTACTGGTAACAGTATTTTTACACTGTGGTATTGCTACTTGTATGTAAAAGATCTGAGTACTTCTACCAGCTTTGTGAGTATTGATAATTCTGTTTCCAGATTCTGAGTGAGTAGTTTTAAACACCACCAGGTGGCGCTGCTGGACCGTAAAACTAGCAGGTTCCTGACTGCTAATATGGAGCCTTGGCTCTTACTGCAGCCCACTCTGTCTTGTTTTCTTTATTGAACCTGGGTTTGCTCAGCAATTACTTTGAATTTCCTAAGTACTTTAATTTACAGTAAATGTGAGTCATGAGTTCTCTATTAGCAGAACCTCTCGTCTTTAAAGGGATTGTGATGTTGCATGCCACAAATATTGCTCTTTTTTATTCATATTCTATTGGCTCTCAACTACACTAATGTGATTTTACATGACAAATACTACTATAGAATATAATAGTACTCAATTATTATAATTATTCTGACAGTTTGTTGTGAAAACACACCCAGAAAATGTTACGGCTGATGTCCAAACTGCTCCGCTGAGCCCAAGCATAAGTTTAGGCTAATTTGAGTGTAAAAGACCACAACAATAATGATCAGTGAACACTAAAGGGCGGAGGAACATGTCTTGACACATGTATTGCTTGAGTAAACTCCACCACACTGATATAGTACAGATGATTTGGCAACAGAGTCTTGGCTAGAACTTCCTGTTTGGGAAATAAGAGGCTCGTACGTGCTGTACAAGAATGCAACTTAAACAGAGTGAGTAATAGCACTCCCAACCACCGCTCTCTGCTGACGTCAAAGCTGGCAAGATAGAACACGCTGAACTCATCTAGGAAAACTACAATCAAGGTGTGACCGAGGACCGGAAGTCTTCTTGAAGCCACAGTTGTTTCAAACAGCAGACCGTCTGATCCGACAGTGTGGTGACTATTTGTGGTTAAGAGTGTTTATTTATGTCATCCACCAAGGCCTGCACATATATAAATAATGTTTGTAAATTAGGTGACATGTTAATGCTCTCTTCAGAATATGACAGTTTTGAAAAATGTCACTAATGACTAACAAATGTTATAAGTGCACTGCAGTGCCTCCTTGCTCAGCCTAATTGTGCATAATGCTGACTCCACACTCACGATCGACCCAGAAGGATATCTGCCCTGCCCTGCCCTGCCCTGCTGACTCTTCCAGCACGTTTCCTCAGTTTAGTTATTAACCTGGAACTTCCCAATAGCTGGCCAGCTGTGAGGGTGGGTGGGGACGATCTTTGACTGTAAGCCTCTTTTGTAGCCTGCAGATCATTTGCGCAGGGAGCTGAGAAGGCATCAGGAAATTCCTGAATGTGAGGGGAGTCATATCTTTCCAAGTGTGACTCTGCAAAGTCTGAGTCAACATACATGCCAGAGTTGTTCAATGAAAGCCTGATACAAGGAAGTGCGAGTACGCTGTCAGGTGTACCATGTCTCTTCATGCCCTTATCACTTCAGAACTTACAAAAGAAAGGGGAGTGAGTGAGACATAGTCAGCTCTCAGTATCGACCGGTGGTGGAATGTAACTCAAAACATTTACTGAAGTACTGTACTTAAGTACAGTTTTAAGGTATACTTCCGTACCGTATACTTCAATATGCTAAATACGAGGCTAGCAGCCGGTTAGCATACTGTGACTTGACTGGAAACAGCTAGCGTGGCTCTGTCCAAAGGTGACAAAATCCACCTGTTTGTGCAAAGCTAAGCTAACTGGTTGTTCATATACAGACATGAGATTGGTATTGATCGTTGAAAAGCAGGGTCTAGTTTGGGCTCCTTGTAAGCTTTCTAAACATCTACTATGGCTTAAATTAAATAACTGTTCAAGGCCCAAAACAGGTTTTTTTTTAGTATCAAATGTGTGGCCCCTCAGTATCTTGTAACCCTTTAGAGGGGCCTGAACCCTAGGTTGGGAATCAGTAGACTAAACCATCCAACTGTATAGAAATATAGATAACAGAAGCTCCATCTCAACAAGTTACTACGGTGAAATGCTACTTAGGTATTAACAATCTAACAATGTGATAATATAGCAGTTTCTGCAATACAAGCACTTTCACATCTGATGATATAAGTGCATTCTGCTGAAAGCAGGATTGTTTTTTTTGGTTAAAGAATGGTGAAAAAAAACCCACCCACTGTGTTGTTGTTCTCATTAAACTGCAGCCTCTCTTTCAGAGGTTGATATCTTTGGTTGCGTCTGTAGAAACTCTCACCCGTGAGCAGTTCCTGTTCCTGTTCCTGTCCCCCCCCCTGGCTTCTGCTGTTGTGGACAAATCGTCAGACGTAGACACCGGCGTGACATAGGGTACTTTGACTGTCATTGGCTAAGTTCATGCATATAGGTCATATCGTAAATACCAAGAGGTTGGAGCTGGTGCTTCCCCTTGGTTCAAAGCTCCCGCATCCTTCCTTGACGTCGACATTGACATGTGGTCCACATGTAAACAAAGCTGGCTGACCTGCCTGCTTCACCGCAGATGTTACCGCGGTGTTCTTTTGGGTTATTGTTGATGTTTTTTCTTCGTAGCAACTGTGGAAAAAAGAAAAAAAAGAAAAGAGGTTTGATTTTGATGCAGCACTGAGTCTGTGACAGAAGCACACACACGTCAATGATTGTCTGTTTGTGACAACAACTTTTGTGAATAAGGTGAAAGGTAAAACGTGAACGTGAGGATGGTCACATAGTTAAGTTATTGTGGGTGGAATGCTTTCATCGCTGCCAACGTCCTCAACACTCCCTACTTCCTGTTGAGTAATCTGTACATGTCAAAAGTACACACACGACTACTACTATTATGTCAAGGTATCTGTGATTTCATAAGTGTATAGCTGAGAATTTACTGTGCATTTTATTAACTTTGCAGCAACTTGGCAACAAAACAATGTTGTTTCTTTAAAAACAATGGTCTGTCAGGCTTTCTTACATACAGTCACATGATTAGAGGGGAACAATCTGCCCACAGTTTTGTCTTCCTATCGTTGGTCTAAATATATATATATCCTCTCTAAACACATGTTTTATTATTTTCTCCCCCTCTTTTAGGTGGGGCTAACTTTTTGTTTAAATGGGAATTTAACTTTTTAACTGAATAATTATCAATAATATTTCACACAAAGCTTTAGAATGACAAGTCAGCCAACAGCTGCTGTATAAATAAAATGTTAAAACGTCTTGCAGAGCTGGTTCGATCAAACCACGTTCAACTTTCATCCCCTGATTTAATTAATATGTACAATTTACAGTAAGGGCCCTCATCCTGCTTTACGTTTGCACGACTGGTGGTGGCATTTCTTAAATGTGTTAAAAAGGACAAATTTTCACTTCCATATTACTCACAATTGCCAATGCCCAGTTGTCCAAATAAAACAGGATGTCAGACTAATTGAGCAGCGTGTCTGGTAATCTAGGAAAGTTTTAGAGGAGAGCTTTGAGGAATAGTGCAATGGGTTGAACTTTCAATATTAATAGAAACTGCAGCATTGTGAAAGACGAGTTAGATGTCTTCCTTTTGATAAAGTCTTGCAATGATGAACTCTGTAATAAATTACCGAGGTCTGCTTGTGTGTGAGCAGGAGCCAGTATGATAACAGTACTAAATCAATGTTGACTCATCACTGCTGAAAAGGGACCCATTTCATCATGTGAGTTGACCCTGTGGATAGTTTGATCAATACTGATGCATCACATTTTAAGCGTTATATTTTGTGAGTCAAATCTGACTCTGCAACGTAATCAGTAACATTTTCTCTGTCAAATTAATGTATTACCACAATGTTTTCCTTTGAAGTAGAAGTACACAGTATCTAGTAGCTCAAACAGCTGAGCTATCGTTTTAAGTGCTTTTGGGGCCTTTTGAAAGCTTTTTTGGGTACAATACGTCTAAATAATATAATTTAATATTTTTCATATCTAAACATCATAATAAAAGACAATTTGTGGAGTCTTTAGTTGGGGCTCCCAGGCCAGGGTTGCCTAACGGTAAAGTCTGCCCCCCCCCGTGCACCAGAGTGTATTTCACCTGTGTTTCTGACCGGGATTAGCCGTGACTTGTGTGTGTGACGCAACTATGTCATGGCAGGTGTATTGCTCAGGACCCAAGGAAGCACAGTGGTGAGTGTAAAAATAGTTTGTATGCAAGCAGCAACCACACCACAGGCCGTTCTGAACCGGCATATTTACAACGGGCCCGGCACTAATAGATTAAAATGACAGACACACTTGTGGTCTAGACGGGGTGTTAGCTCATTGTGGGTCACGTT